TAAACCTGTAACAGAATGGAGGCAGAAGTCTCAGTGGTGCGCACGGGATGTCAGGACTCAGCCAAAGAAAATCAAAAAAGCTGCAGGGCTACATACCACAAGAGGTGAACCATAAGAGAAGAAAATGTTGTAATTTGCATGAACTGACCTTTTATGAGCTGCTAACACTACAAGAATGCCAGTAGTATGGCTGTCACTGATATCTCCAGCCAAAATGCTGTTTTAGTTCTTTGGCAAGAAACTGCTCAAATGTAAAGACAATGTAAATCTCCTATTATCAGTCTATTGCCAGTTTTCATGCACACATACTGGTGAAAGCCCAGTTTATAGGATGTGGTATTATTCTCACCCATCATGGTTGTAAGAAGCCAACACTACACTGGGGCTGGAGTAGGCATTGCTGGTGACCCAGGTGCAGTGGACGGCAAACATCATGAGAAGCATCAACATCAGCATGGTGACTATGGACTTGATGTTGGGGCCCAGGCCCTCCTCAGCCTTCTCCTGCTCTGATACGTGCTTACGCACCTTACCAGCCTGCAGAGGATAGCACACGGAGAGGACACCACTTGTAAAGAGGACTGAAACTCTTACAAGACAAGTGCACTGTAAAAATGAGCTGGTAATGTACTAAACCACTGCTCAGTGTTCTCCCACTGAGAGAACAACACTCAGTTAACTCTTGGCCCTGTTTTATGGTGTCACATTCAACAGTGGCTTTCAGGACACCTGTGATAGGTTGATAATGCATTATTCCCACTGTATTGATTTGGAAGAAAAGCAGGAGAGGGATGACTAAAACACTGAACATCAGGGCTCTTTGGTGTCCTGGAGGAATGACAAGGAGGAGAATAATGAGCATACAACCATGTTTACTACACAATGTTTCTTATGAGACAACCGTGTTTCAGCTGGGTCTAGAATATGGTCAAGAACCGTTTTAGTAAGGTTTGGTTCTCATGTAGCAGATTTTTGGTTATATATAAGATGACTAGCTGTGTATTCTATTGTACTTGATATCCGTAAGTTGTTTCTCACCAAAAGACAATGTAGGCATCCTTGAAGGGTCACAAGAGGAATCCCAGTGGTCACAAGATGTTTAAAGAAAGAAAGAAAGCTTTTCTTCAACATAAAATTTAATTTTTTTAGACCTTTCTGTAAATTTTGCAATGTGGCTGCCCTGTCATTGTGAAGAGAAACAATCTCAGATATTTGTTGTTGTTGTTTTTTTTTACATAACAATCATCTTCTAGTTATACAGTAGCTGCAAACAGACTAGTTAACTACAGCTAAAATGTTTGAGACAAAATGACGTGACCTAAGGCCACGTCTGAAAAACTATGCACCCAAGTTTATTTTACTTATAGCAGCACTGATTAGTTTTTTCAGTTTTTTTACCTGTCACCTTATACAGGTGCTGTGACCAACATACTAGCAAACAGATGCCTATTTAAACACCCACCAGATATTCATCTGGAGTTGTGGCCCCTTGATTAATACATGTCCAATATTCTTGCTCTCCATTGGTCTTGTTTCTGAGAAAAATATCTGTCTCTTTAGCTGCTATATGCAAGTTGCTAACATTGTCTGACTACAATTTAGTGGGAAGGTAGGGCCGTGTGAGTTCATCAGAGTTGTTACACTGAAATTAGTTGTCTGCCACTGCTGAAGACGAACGAGGCTGACGAGCAGTGAAGCTGAACCAAAGCAGCAAATTGGTGGATGTACAACCAGAAGAGGGAACTAAGGGGAACTTCAGTCCTCAGTGATAAATCTATGTGGTTCTGTCACTATAAATGACACCTTACACATGGCTACATTCCAGTATTTGATCCACTGTAAACATAAAAGTATTGATAAGTGCAGTTTTAAATATTATGTTTTAGTATTAGGTGTGATGGCCATGTGTATTTTATATACAACTAAAATGATAATCTGATTTTTGAAGGTAACACAGAATACTGCTTGTGTAGTTTTAGTTGTACAACACATGTAATACAATAATAGTTTGTGTTTTGCGTAACAGATTAACTTTTAAATAAACAATCAGCAATTAAGAAATGCTGACACTCATTTATGACAATGTAGCATCACATCTTCCACTGTAACATGAACACAACAAAGACCATAATTAAGTAAATTAACAAGTTTGGTAGTTGAACGTACAGTAAACATCAGTTATTCTGATGACCCCTGACCTTGTCGTAGAGGTTGCCAGCATTCTTCCTGTCATCCTCGTCGCTGCTGTCCTCCGCAGGCGGGCTCTGCCTCTTCATGTCGTCTCCCAAGTAGTGCTCAAAGACGCTGGAAAAGGCTATGGCTGACAACATGCACACCACTGGTGTCAGAGTCAGCATCAAACGCACCATCACGCCAGCAAAATAGACAGCGCTGATGGCATACAAGGCCACTGGTGTGAGAACAGCACACAGAGAGAAAGAGGAGAACAGGATGTTACAGTCCAACCTAGATGAGTTTAATTATACAGATCATTTATTCACTTGGCTTTAATTTAACGCTGTCCAGTTCAATTATACCTCTCTACTCAGGTGTCTGACAGCGACCTAAAACACATGCATTCCTGTCCTATGAGCTAAAACTGTGTAGAGCCTCCCTGGTTAAATCTAAGTGAGTAAATAACAGAATAAAGTAAACAAATAAGCCCATTTCCAAAAATGTCGGGGCGTTGTAAAGTGTAATTTACCCCATATTCATTTGGTAACAGTACAACAATAAGATATCTAATGTTCAAATTAATATATTTAGTTTATATAAACTTATTCTGAATTTGAGGACAGCAACACATTACAAAAAAGGGGAAACTACTGAGAATAATTGGCAACAGGTCAGCATCATGATGTGGTACAAAAAGAGCATCCCAGAGAGGCTGAGTAAGGATGAGGCGAGGTTTATCACTATGTGTGGCAAACTGTTCTACAGTTTAATAACATTTCTCAGTGTAAAATGGTAAAGGTTATGTCCATTTTTGTAATATACAGTACATAATAATATGAAAATATTCAAAAAGAAATCTCAGTAAGTAAAGGACAAGGCCAAAAACCAATACTGCGTGGCCGTGATGTTCTGGCCCACAGGCGACCCTGCATTAAAATTAGACATTATTCTGTAGTGGAAATCGCCGTCCCTGGTAGGCTAGTGGTTAAGCCGCAGCGCTCTCGCCGTTTCAGCCCGGGTTCGAGTCAGGGTTTCGTCAGGAAGGGCATCCGGCATAAAACACGTGCCAAATGTCAACATGCGAGTCGTTAGTGTGACGATTCGCTGTGGCGACCCCTAAACGGGAAAAGCCAAAAGTGACTTTCTATTCTGTAGTGGAAATCACTGCGTGGGCTCAGTCAGTGAACCCAGTTTGTCACTGCATCCACAAGTTACAACTCTACCATGCAAAAAAAAAAAAACATAAAACAAGATCCAGTGTTATAACTCTCTCAAACAAATTATGATTAGGGTCATAACACCCAGAAACACCACCTCCTTTCCCTGGGCTCAAGCTCATTTAAGGTGGACTGAGGAAAAGTGGAAAACTATCCTGTGGTCTGACAAGCCAAAATTTAAAAACGTTTTTGGAAATCATGGATGTCACATCCTCTGGGCTACAGGGGAGAGGAACCCTCCAGTTTTTAATCAGTACACATGTCAAAAATCAGTGATGGCATGAGGGAGCATTAGTGCACATGGCATGGGTGGCTTGCTAAACTGGCCTGTCTGCAGTGCAGACCTGTCACTCACTGAAAACATTTGGCACATTATTAAGTAAATAAATACAGCAGAGGAGGCTTCAAACTGTTGAGCAGCAGGCATCTTAAGTCAAACAAATGGGAAAACATTTTGCTTTCAAAACTAAAGCAAATGTCTCCTCAGTTCCCAAAGGGTTACAGGGCTCTGTTACACTAAGAGGTGATGCAGCACATGTCCCTGTCCCAACTTTTTGGAAATGTGTTGCTGGCATCAAATTTTAAATGATAACTATCAGAGGAGAGTGGGAAGCAAAAGCAAGTAAACCAGAAAGCAATGCACTGCAGAGCAGACAAAGAGACAGCTCAATCAGCCAAGGGAGGGCAGCAGAAGACTAGACTTTGTCTGAAGTAGAGCCAGACACCAGTATTGCTGGCCAGTTTGGCAATGAGCAGCTTTACTGTACCAGTACCTAGCCACTCTCTAAGGTGCACTTGCACTCAGTTGGCAGTTTATTAGCTATGCCTAGAACAATGAACATTATCACCCTCATGGAGGAGGATTTATTGCAGGACTGCTGGATGAGGTTGCATTACTTGCAGTTAGGTATACCACTCTAAAATTAGACATTATCCAGATGGGCATCCGGCATAAAAACACACCAAGTTTAACATGCAAATCATCAGTTGGGTGGCAACTGATTCGCGGTGGCGACCCCTAACAAGAACAGCCAAAAGTAGAAGAAGAAGTTGTAGCTAGGTATACATAATAAACTGACAGCTGAATGCATAGTGAAAGATTACAGTTCATTTTAAACAGTAAAATTTACTATAAACAGCTGCACAATTACAAGAGAAGTATATTTAAGTTGTGATAAGGGAAATGAGGCTCACATATATAAAAATGTTGCCTATAAAATTATTTAAACAAACCTGTCTATAAATTACAGTATATAAACTACAGTTGTATTTTGAAACTTAAAAGAATTTCTATACGACCTTGGCCAACATATAAACTACGATGGACAGACTGAGGAAAGCCATCACAGCAGCCAAGAGGCAGTACAGAGAGAAGCTGAATGGCTTCTATTCTACTGCTGACTCTGGACAGATGTGGCAAGGCCTGCAGCACATCACAGACTACAGGACCACCACCAGCATCATCAGCTCCACAGACAGCCTGCTGGATGACCTCAACACCTTCTACACCCGCTTTGAGACCTCTAGCTACAGCACAGAGAGGAGGCACACACACACACACTGAGACCCAGTTCAAAAGAGACCACCAAGGAGTGCACCGTGCACTGTTGTGTAAAGACTGGATATAAATAGTCCACGCTGGAAAGGTGTGCCAGCAGATACAAACAACTAATTTGAAACCGACGTTTCTTTCTCATTATGGTTACATTAATTACACTGCTTTGTTTTAAGTCTGGCAGCAGACAAACAGAGGAGGAGTGGAAGAAGGATCCTGGGAGCTGAACTCTCTCTACTGACTGATCAGATTATTCACATTCTCACTGACAGGAAAAAAAAAAAGCTTTCCTTGTAGATGTGAAAAAATTAAATCCTGCCAGTGATATTCTTTGGCCAGAAGGTGTTGTGGGACACCAGCTGTTTGACTGCAATGCCAATTCCAGACTGGATCACAGTTTCAAGTGTTATTTGTGCAACAGAAAGAGAAATAACTCCATGACCAATTCATGCTGACAAATACTAAACTACCGAACATAATGTGCAGAAATCAAATCATCAAACCACATGAAATGTGCATTTACACTTTCATGGTTACTAGGAAAATAATACCAAAAAAAAGCCCTACTTTTTATTAGCACCAGTAATTCTCAAGCTCACACTAAAGACAGATTGGTATTTTGGCTACTTTCATGTTTTTTGTCTTATGCTGTTTGATGTAGCTGCAGGCTCAGGCAGTATGCTGGTTAGTTTAGCACACTGTTAGCATGCTAGTTAGCTTAGTGTAGCAGGTTGTGTTGTTCATTTGGTAGTTAGCCTAACATCATGTGGTAGATGGGAGTGGATGCTTTATTGCTTGGTAAAGCTATGTATCAGCAAGTGACGTTGCTTGGTGAGTTAAGCAGCTGGTTAGCATCATATACAATAACTCGACCGAATTAGCTGGTTGTAGTTGGTCTGCATGGATATTGTAAACAAGGATGACTATAACTTGCTACAGAGGGTTGTATAAGCATGTGGGTGGCTGCTCTGGATCACTGGAACACACTATTGAGGCTTCTCAGTAATGTAGGCCTGGCTTACAAATTGATGCTCATGCTCAAACTGTGTAGTGCACAGTGACAAAGCAATGTTAAAATGCCAGTTCTATATTATTATAATTATAATAAAAAGCATCCTTCAATCTGATTGTTTTAATACAATAGTGACAAGTTTCATGACCTTCGTCAACAATAGTGTTCTACTTTCTTATTTAAATTAAAGGAAAAAAGTGTTTAACCCATGATTTGTCTCTTACCAAAGACACGCTCATCATTGATGTTCTTAATGCAGAACCAGAGGCCTGCTGGGAACGTACAGATGAGGATGTGAAGGTCAAAGAAGAAGGACACCCAGGTGGTGGGCTGGTGCTCAGATACTGATGCTATAATAGGAATGTGGATCTTAGCATAGCTGTGGATGACATGGAGAACAGAGAGAAGTGAGACATCATAGCCAAGTATGGTAGGGCAGAGGAAGAGTAAAAAAGATGTCTAATAACAGTATCAAACCACAAATGCATTATTAGTTTCAAACTATCTTTTTATTCAAGATAATAGCTCATATATTCAACAGTAAGATCTTATTCACAGTGGAATGACAAAAAAAAAAAAATCTAGTCTTGCTGAGGTCAGTTGTCTTGGGGTCAGTGGATAACCCCATTCCTTTCACTAAATGACAGCAAAAGTATTCACATAAACGCACAAACACATATGTGCACACATACAATCAGAGATTTACAAGTGAAGCTGCAACTCTCTGTAAGCCCAGGTCTGGGAGCAGACGAGACTGAGGCTGAGTGACTAACTGACTCACTGTTTGACCATAAAACCATTTTGGCAGCAAGGGGCAAAGCTACAGTAATAGGTTTGCATTTGCCTTTTAAAGCAGCCCTAGACATGAGAATGCTGCTTAAAAAATAAAACTACATAAACACAGTAAAAGCTGGACTTCATGGTAAACAAACCAATTGACAAGGTGGAATAAATCCTCCATGGGCTTTAAACAGAGTTATAGTTTGAATGTGCTGCTGTATATAATTTAACACCAATTAATTATCAGCACTGTCATGAAGTGATTTAAATCTAGTGTAAAAGTACAACGTTCGATTTCTGAAGACTTACCCAGTATCCCAGAGAGAGTAGAAGCGCCCACTCCATGGAGCAATGTACCCTGAAAGTGAAAACGCATAAATCACATGGAGGCTGACTGTACTTACACACATAGCTGTGTACTGTCAGTGATCTGTATGTCACGGATAGCCAGGCTGGCAACATTCCTCCTGCATGTATCAGTCATATGATTTGTGGGCAATATGTACTGGATGTTTTGTGTTACTGTGTTGTAACGAGGCTGTAATGAGCCTGCTGTGCTCTCAGATCAGCAGTGTGGCAATAAATCAGACAACAGAAACTAATCACCAACATGATTAGCCAGCAGGTGGTCTGATCATACATGGGCACTGTGTGATGTCACTGGATGGCTGGTTCTAATCATAACCAGCTACTGCTTTACATGTAGCATTTCAGTGGCTGTAGGACAGTAGGTAAGGACTCCAGTTACTATGACCACACTCAAAAGTATTTAGATGTTTCTTGTAATGCAGAAACCCAACAAGGCTTCAGGTCATTTGGGGTACAACCTAACAAAGCATAGTGTAAATAAACAAGTTTCAGACTGTCTCATTATTGTATAAAACCTCAACTGCAAAATGTGACATCATCAGGTTTAAGGACAGGGCTGGATACAATTCTGTATAAAACCTCAACTGCAAAAGGTTTAAGGACAGGGCTGGATACAATTAATATATCCTGCTAACAAAGCCTGATTTAGCATATTCCTCAGTACCAGAGCACCACTGTTGTCCAAAAACTATTAAAACACATTAATGAGCCACCATGTTACAATGGGTGACGTGTTCCTTCATAACAACCAACATGGGTGCTATAGTCCATTTCCCACGGGAAAAAGCAAGCCTATTATCTCGGACAGAATAAAGGTGACATCATAAAACTTGCTATTATTGATAATTGAGAGTGTTTCATCATCAGTTTAAAGCCTTGTATAAAAGTTATACTGCAATCAACTCCTAATCCAACACACCATAAGAACCTTTACTCTGTCATTCCACTGTCAGTTTCTCCACAGCACAGATTTTTTTAAATAATAGCTATGCACTGTGTAACAGAACCAATCACAACTCTTTCAAAGAACATCAGACTACTCAGTCTTTGAGGACTTTACTCTTTGAAAGTGTTAAATGCTGCACAGATGTGGACAGCTGAACTGTGGCTTTCAATCACGAAAAACCAGCCAGTCAATTTAAAATTAAATAAACACAACATGGCAGAAACGTTTGTCAGGGTAAAAATGTTATTTACATGGCTTTGATTTGCACAGCAAATCTGACTGAATGAGGAGCCAAGTGACTAATTAACTCTGTATGTATGTGATATGCATATTCAGCACTAAAAGTGTACCTATTTTATCTTGTGGTCAAAAGAAGGCATTTTACAGGGGAAGAAAACATTTGAGAACTATTCAGTCAGTTAACCTTCTAAAAAGCCATGTGAACCAACCTGTGTATGTCAAATAGATGACAGAGAGAAAAACCACTCCAGCAGCCAGTGACACTCCCAGGAAGAACAGAGTCTGGAACTCCTGCCTGGTCAGTCGGTCCTTCAGGTACTGCAGGAAGGCATAGACCTGCAGCAGCACAAACACACCTGCAGAGATACAGTGCAAACCGCGTTAAGATTTGACATGCACTCTGTTCATCTAGTAAGTAAGTCAATCTTTGCCTAACGATTTAATGTTGTTTTAAGTATAAAGGGAAAGGTTGTTGCAGTGAATGTTATAAATTAAGATTTGGCCATAGACGTGCAGTGAGCACATACTGTATTACTGGCTTTCAATAATACCTTTATACACTTTCAAACCAAACCCCCGGTGAATGGCTACTGACCTGCTGCGGCCATGTGTTCACTAGTCCTGATTGGCTGAAAGCCCACAAAGGGAATCTGCATAGACAGGACCAGGCCGACGATGTAGAAGGTGCTATAGGCTGCAAAGACATTATCAAACAGTTATGCCCTGCTGTAAACCATTAATTACAGTAATACAGTACATGTTAGCACACTGTTTTCATGCAATAACCTTCACTAAAACATACCTAACAATTTTTCACACCTTCTTAATTCTAAGCCTACTCACTCCTACCCATAAATGTGAAGCCTAGAGTATGCTGTGAAGATATTTTCACAGAACCTGATGTACAGTACCTTATTCTCAGTGACAGAGCACCACTGTTATCCACATCTGTATCAAAAATACAGTTTATTAGCTGATTTTGAGGCCATCCCATATACAATCCACACCAACCTGTCAAATCTGTGGCTCCACTTGGAGTAACACTTTAAATTTATTTTTTAAACAAACTACAGTACATTTAAACTATATACACTATTTGTGAAGAGCAAGACAGTGAGGGCATATTTCGTCTGAATGTCTGTGACAAAGGAAGGCGAGAGAGAGGTAGCCTGTGTATGTGAGAAAGAACACACACACTGCACACCACTGGACATTTAAATAAGATGGTGTAGCATAAGGCATTGATATACTCTATTCTTAAAGCTGACAAATCAGTGAAATTTGTATTTTCAGTTTTACATTTTATCCAGATTATACAACTTCTGGTCAAGCCTTATGCTCAGACCTTTTCCTGTTTAGCTACATGTTGCCTAGCAATGCAAATGATGGAAATTCAGAGCCTCGGGAACTATATTATGTGATGTTTAAAACAGAAAGGTGGGGGTGGCTGTGGCTCAGGAGGTAGAGTGGGTCATTTCCTAACTGGAGGATTAGCGGTTCGATTCCCGGCTTGTCCAGTCAACATGTCGAAATGTCCTTGAGCAAGACACTGAACCCCCAGTTGCTCCCGGTGATGTCACCGGTGTGTGAGTGCTTGCGAGTGCAAATGGGTGAATGGCCGAATAATGTGAAAGTGCTTTGAGTGTGCTGTAAAAAGCATAGAAAGGCGCTATACAAGTATAAGACCATTTACCAAAAGTGCTTTGTGTGTAAATACGGTATTTTGCTAGCTAGCAGCCATGGTGGACTACAAGCGGGATAATACCATCCAAGTTTGTATGTTCATGATGGTTATGGATTCTGCTGAGGCAAACCACCTATTATTGCAAATTTTATGCACATTTACACATATACTAGTGGAGGAGGCATTTGGATTCACAAATCCTAGCATGGTTATCATTTTATCATTGTATTAAATTATTATGATCTTAACTTGGGTTTAATTTGAGCTTCTGTCCTTAGTTATGTTCCACCACCTCTCCAAAGGTCGCACTGCAATCAACCACGCTCCAAAGATTTAAACAGCAAACATAAGAGGAGTGAAATTCTAAGACATATAGTTGTTGTTTTTTTTTAAACAGTAATTTCCTAAAACCCTCTCGGCCATTGTCAGCTGGGATTGGCTCCAGCACCCCTGCGACCCTCATTAGGATAAGCGGTATACATAATGGATGGATGGAATTTCCTAGAACAACTGATCACTGTAGTTTTCAATCAAAAATTAAACAAAAGGAAACAAACAAAAGGAAAGAACATTTTCAAGCGCAGAGCACAAACTATAATACTGTACAACATGTTTAAGTTACACATAATACTTGTACAGTAGTAGTAGGATGGTCTGCATTTGTGTTTGATTTTGAGAATAAGCTAAATGTTTGTATCTGTATTGCTTCTGACCATTACAAAGCCTTATCATCTACTTTCTGGCCACTCCACTTTGATTTGTCAATACAAAGAGAAATTCCTTCCTGGCATAATGTGTCTGCGGTCACTTCAGCAGGTTTGCCAGCTGTATAAAGGTGTCTGCATTTTTTATTGGAACATCATCCAAGCTCAAAAGAGAACCCATTTGGACTGTGCCTGTACTAAAAGCTCTCTTCAAGTCTAATCCAATCATTAATTCCAGCTATTGGCAGACAGCCAGCCAGAGTCCTGCAACAGCTGAGCCAGGCATCATCCTATTAAAGTGTCCCAGCAGGAGGCACATGGCACCTATACTCTCTAGACCAGACCTGGGCATTTTATGGCCTGCGGGCCACATCCGGCCCTTTGGGCGTCCCTGTCAGATCATGAACATGAATGAAAAAAGTTCACGGGTGAACTTAAGATCCCCGACCTACCAGGTGAGAGACAGGCGATGTTGGCCAGCTAACCCTCAAAATGTCAACTCACGCCAAAAAAAAAAACAAAAAAGTTGATGCCGAATGCCACGTTTTCAACAAGACATGGACTGGAAAGTATTTGTTTACAGAAGTCAAAGATAAAGCGGTGCGCTTAGTTTGTGGTACACAGGTTGCTGTGTTCAAGGATTACAATTTAAATCGCCACTATGTGACCAAACATGAGGAGAAATACAAAAACTTGTCGGATGAAGAGCGCGCAAGAGAGTTGGATGCTTTGCTAGTGAAACTGCATAACCAACAAAGACTTTTTACAAAACCTTCCACACGCAGAGATGCAGCTTTCAAGACAAGTTATGTCATATCCCACAAAATCGCCAGAAAAAATAAGCCGTTTTCTGACGGAGAGTTTATTAAAGAGTGTTTGGACTCTGCAGCACTAATATGCCTGGAGAAAGATGGCGCATATGAGAACGTCTCCTCTCCCAACGCACTGTAACGAGGAGGGTTGAGGACATCGCAGGAAATCTTTGGATCTACCTACATATGTGAACAGACATTCTCAGTGATGAGGTTCAACAAATCCAGATTTCAATGCGCGTGTTCAAGCCCAAGCCAGACTGGATTTCTCTCACTGAACAAGTAAAATGAACTGAAAATGCAAATCTTTACCATACTGCAAAACACCTTTTCAGTGTTATGTGAAGTAGAAAATAAAATGGAACTGTGATGTAATGTTTGTTTTGGTTTTTACTGTTTATTACTTATTACTGTCATGACATGTCACTAGATGTCATGTCAGAATGTTCTTAGATACACACCACTTAATCAACACTCACACACATTGATTCTCTCCATGTTTTGACTACTGCTATGGTCAGCTGTAAAGCTGGCATATCAGGTGACGCCACGGTTTGACGTTGCTGTGTAGAATGGGGATAGCCCAACCGAAGTGATAAATGTATAGGCCTATTGTGGTTCAGGGTCTTTCATTCTTCGTCTGCCTGCGCGCAGTATTGGAGGTGGAAGATACCTGGACGTGTAATGTTAATTTTACCTGTGATCCTTTGAATAAACCAGCACGTTTTTTTTTATATCCAAGTGGTCTGCCTCGTCTCTCTGAGTTCCTGGTTAAAAGAACTGGAAAATAGCTTTCACTTTGAAAGACTGGTGTTGGCCCACCTGAAGGACATCGTAGACTCCCAGTTAGACCCCCTGCAGTTTACCTACTGGGCAAACAGGTCAGTGGACGATGCAGTCAACATGACACTGCATTACATCCTGCAACACCTCGACTCCC